AGGGTTAGGAGCTGGTTGAATGGACATGGGGAATCAGGGGTGGAAAGGAGGAGTGTGCTGTCACAGTATGGGGAGAGCAATTAGAGTTACATAACAACGTATGTATAAATTTTTGTATGGGAAAAAATTTAAAAAAAGAAAGAATAAATAAAAGTGCCTGACCTTCAGCTGTGATTCCAGTCTCAGGTATACATGTATTTTAACCTGATATTCTTAATCTCCTCTTGACTGTGAGACAATATCATTTGTATAGACCAGTAAAAAAAAAAAAAAAAAAGGTTGCCATCTGGATGATTCCTACTCATGGCAACCCCATGTATGTGAGAAGTGTGCTCCATAGGGTTTTCAATGACTGATTTTTCAGAACTAGATCACCAGGCCTTTCTTCCAGGGTGCCTCTGGGGGATTCAAACCACCAACCTTTTGGTTAGCAGCTGAGCACATTAACCATTTGTACCACCCAGGGATATGTCAGTCTTGAGCATACATGTATTTTAATCTAATGCTCTTATAATCTACTGTTGTCTATGAAGCGATATAATTTACATTCAGTTCAATTAAATGTAGTTGCCAGAAATCTGAGTGCCAGAAAAGCAGGTCATTAATGGGAGTGCCTTTTTACCACCTTCGTTGATGGACAATTTTATGGTAGTGAAAATTCTTAATTCTAGTCAAGTTCTTAATTCACTGGGGAAAAACTATAAATGCTAACCCTTTGAAGGGATGGAACCCAAATCAACTATCCTATGTGTTTTTCTTATGTAGCCTGGTCTTCTGATTGTCCAGTTGTAAAAACTGGGCTGAATAAGTCTACCAGGTTCATTACGTTTGTTTAAGACCACTGTTTCTTTTGATTATGACGCTAAGCTAAGGAATGCCTTTCCTCATGGTGGTCTCTTCTCTTCCAAGAGCACTGGCTTCTTTGCCAGTCTAAAATAATCGTTGTATTTCTGACATATATTTATTTTTATTAGAAGCCCCTGGGTGGTGCAAATGGTTAGTCACTCAACTACTAGCCAAAAGATTTGGCAGTTTGAACCCACCCAGGCCTGGAAATCTGCCTCCAAAAGGTCACATCCTTGAAAACCCTATGGAGCAGTGCTACTCTGCACCCATGGGATTACCATGAGTCAGAATCAGCTCAATGGCAACTAGCAACAACGACAACAATTTGTTATTATTGCTAACTTTTTTTCTGAGACCCCTTAACCAGCTAGTGGTATAAGAATAAGCTTCTGGAATCCTCTGTCCCTGGCATGCAAAGGTGTTGTATAAGCCTTGAATGAGGAGGGCCATGTCTATGACAGACTGTTCTACTGCGATGCCCTTGGGAGGATATCATGGCGTTGGGACTTGGCCAATAAAACGTCAAAATCTGGTATTTTCTGGGCTTTTGAGAAGTTTTTGAGTAGGAGGAGTTAAGAACTGTTCACTGGCAGGAAATAGAAAATAGAGGTGAGGCTGCCCAAGGCCCTGGGAAGCCAGTCATGTCCATGTACATCCCTCCTTCCTTCTTTCTTCCCATCTGCCAAATTTTAAGCAAAGACCCTTTTGCTCAAAGAATGAGGTGAGAGTTTTTTCTCCCAGGTGGGTGGCATGAAAGCTACCTTCTAACTAGATTTCATTCTTCTTCCCTGGGGAGAGCCCTGGTTAAGAGCTTGGCTGCAAACCAAAAGGCTGGCAATTCGAATCCACCAGCCACTCCCTGGAAACCCAATGGGTAGTTCTACTCTGTCCTATAGAGTTGCTATGAGTCAGAATTGACTCGATGGCAGTAGGTTTGGGTTTCCTGGTAACACAGTGGTTAAAGCACTTGGCTGCTAAATAAAAGGTCGGAGGTCAAACCCACCAGCCACTCTGCAGGGGAAAAGATGTGACAGTCAGCTTCCATAAAGATTTACAGCCTTGGAAACCCAATGGGGCAGTTTTACTCTGTCTTATAGAGTCGCGATGATTCAGAATTGACTAGACAATAGTGGTTTTGATTTGGTGCGTTTCCCTGGGGAAGGAGCAGCTGTGGATAATGAAACTTCACTTTTTGTTGGAACCATGATTCTTGAAATGTATAGACTTTAAACAAGCTGGTCATCACTAAGCAAGTAAAATAAAACTCCATTCATTCCAATGCCATCCATTACAATTGTATGTTTCTGCCTAAGAAGAATAGATGATTCTTTATAAGGAAAACATTTGGGTTATATTCAACCTCTTGAAAAGCTTGCAGGTGAAACCCAAACAAGTCACTTTAAAAAATTCAGAGCTCATGAGATTAATAATTCGCAAGACTCCCTGAACATATCAATAATTTCCATGTCCAAAAAATTTGTTTTTATAAATAAAAGTAGTTTTATATTTGTGAAAGATTATTATGTATGGTAGAACCATCTAGATTTATTATTTTTTATTAACTCTGCTCAGAATAAATATAAATTCTTAACTACCTATAGGAATCTATTTATGGCTGGTGCTAAAGTAACAAAACAATAGGTTGATAACAGCAAAAATAGAATATTTCTATCAGGTTGACCTCTCTATGCCACTGCCCACTCCATTGCCCTCCCTCAAAGTTTCTGAGAAAGTGAGGTTTTACTCTGTGTCCATAAGAGAGTCCTCCTCATTTCTGGTGGGACTATAATTTTGGGGAATGCAACACGAATCCAAAGTGTTTATGGGAGGTGAGGCTACCATGATAAACACAGATGAAGCTAAAAACATGAATCAAGGCTTCTAGCAGTTATTGAGCGTTTACCATGTGTCAAACACTGCTAAGCACTTTACATGAGAGATCTCACTTAACTATACACAGGTTTATCTACACCAAAGCTCATGCTCTTAGCCATGAAGCTAGACTTTCTCTAGAATGTGTTGGGGGAGGTTGAACAACATCAGAGTCTCAGAGCTGAGATCCAGAGGAGCCCCAGACACATGATAGCTCTTCCCAACTGTTGGCAACCTGCCCTCTCTGGGGCTATCATAGACAGAGTCATCTGAGGTGATGACAGTTGACCACTGGTTACCATTCTGCCCTCCCAGTTTACACTTTAACTAAGTAACTCTGGGTTCCGACAGCTGCCTAATTCTTTCTCTCTCCTGTGCCCTGTCCCTGCAGTTGAAGCAATACACTTGGGGAGCCTTATAGCTGCCCAGGGCTACATCTTTCCCATCTCAGACCACGTTCTCACCATGAAGGATGATGGCACCTTTTATCGTTTCCAGGTAGGCCTGCCCAGCTCCTCCTCCTATAGAACCTTTTCTTCTCACCATCATCTGATCTCACAGTAAAACTAACTAAAAACAAAAAAAAAAAACTGAAAGTATGAAAAGGAACCACCTGTATCCCTCCTAAGCACTGGGACAGCCAAGTAAATGTTTGTCTGGATCATTTGTTGCTTCACTCAGATCATAGTAAAAGGGAAGATGAGAGGGATCCAGCCTTCACTGAGAGCTACTATTTATTGAGTACACGTATTTCCTCATTTATCCTAAAGAATAAACCTCTGAAGGTATCCATCACCCGTTTTACAGATGAGAAGACTGAGTTGATTGGAGAATTAATGAGGTACTTAGTAAATGAAGGAGACAGACTTAATTTGATTTGAACTTAGTTTAGCCTGGTAGATTCGGTGTGTGGTGTCAGCAAGGAGGAGATGGGGACAGAGCCTGACATAGGGAGGGGTCCTCACTGGGTGCAGGGAGGGCTGACCCCACCCCATGGCATGGAGGACAGGTGCTGTGGGTGCCTCTGAGTGCTGAACTTGTACTCTTTTGCAGGCTCCATACTTCTGGCCTTCGAACTGCTGGGAACCTGAAAACACTGACTATGGTGAGAACTGACTCTGCAGCCCGCACTTAGCGTTACTTCTGGGAGGGCAGTAGACAAATGCTTGGTGTCTGGGCAACTGCAGTGCACAGTAGGGTGGAGGGGGGCGTTGGGCAGCATGTAACATTACCCTGCTTAATCCTTTCTCATCTTGTGGACATGTAATAAACTCCCCATTCCATACAATGAAGGAAGGGCACAGCACACAGAAAGATGCCACACTTGGAAGGGAATGGAGCAAGGGAAGAAAGTTTTCATTAAGGATGGCTAATATGTTCATTCTGTGGGGCCATCGAGAGCTAAGATCCCACACCAACACTATGAGATAACGACTTTTGATTGGTCCTTCCTGGGACAAGATTTCAGGGAGGGCTAGTTCAAGGGCCCACCTCCCCCTGACACTTTCTGTTCTTACGCCTTGTTAAGACTTACTAAGAACTTATTCATGTTTTTAATGGTTGGAAGTTGAGGGGAAGGGAAGATAGACCAGGCAGGGGTTGACAGAAGTCACTCTGAACTAGGAAAATAAACCATTACAGTGGGCAAAGCTGGGACTTGGGTAAGCAGGGAGTTACCTCTATCCAGGCAGGGATCTATTAGACTCTTGCTACATATTCTCAGTGGAAACTATTTAATTTTTTCTATGGTGCTAATCCTCTGAAGAAGTAATATTATCCCTATGTTTCACCCTATATTTCAGATAAAGAACTTGAGGCCCTGAGGGCCCACATCCTCACACTTACCACACTATACTCTGTTTGTCTGAGTACCCAGTTGACTGTAAGGTCTGGTTGACTGTAAGCTCCATGAGAGCAGCAACTGGCCCGCCTTGTTCATTCTCATATCCCCAGTGCATAGCACATGCCCGAGGCATAGTTGGTACTCTGAATATTTGCTGACCATTCTGGTTCTTCATGGAAGGTGATCAAGAGACTCTCACTAGAGGTGGCAGCATTTGAACTCAAATCTAGGTGGCTCCAAAGCCTATGCTCCTTTCACGGTCCTGTGGGGGAAGTTCCCGAAAACCACAGCAGCAGCACTGTCCCTTTGCATGGCGTCCTCACCACTGTCTTAGCTGCTGTGGCAGTCCCAGTCCATAGCTCTCCTTGGAACTGGCCCTCAGTGAGACCTGCAGTTACTCCCTATGTTCTTTGCAGGATTGTTTGTGACAGGAGGGCAGATTCGGGTGCAGAGCGAAGGAGGGAGGTGTGCAGCTGTGGAAGGGGGCTCAGCAGAGGCTGACCAGGACACCTGTGTGATCAGCTACACCCTCTGGATCACACATGTGATGGAGGGGGAGCCAGCAATTGTGAGCAGTCCTGAGGATGGGCTGTGAGCAAGTTATTGCCTAATTGTTATTAGAGGCTGTGGAGTAGATTTCGGCTCATAGTGACCCAGTGTGACAGAGTGGAACTGCCCCCGTAGAGTTTTCTAGGCTGTAATCTTTAAGGAGCAGATTGCAAGGTCTTTCTCCTGCAGAGCCGCTAGGTGGCTTTGAACCACCAACCTTCTTCGGTTAGCAGTCAAGCACTTAACCATTGCGCCACTAGGACTCTTTTATTGCCTAATAGGGTCACCTAATAAGGTGCTTTGTTACGGTTGCTCCTTTTTCAAGTCTGAGGACGGCATTCGTGCAGAAAGCTAGGCACCTGGGCTGACTCCTCGCTGTCCAGAGCTTCACTGTGAGCTTGATGAGTGAATCCAGCAAGGCTTCCAGCTCCGAGTGCATTTGGCCGCTCATAAAACAAGTGCTTCTGGGGCTGAAATTCAGCTCACGGAAGCCTGAATTGGTTTTTGAATAATTACAACTCAGCTCCACACACAGCAGCTCGGTGTGCCCTTGTGAATGTGAAAACCAATCTTTTTCCTGGCAAGGGAGGGGGCAGGAGGATAGTTGGGCCAGATAACTGGATGAAAGTAAGATTCAAACCTTTATTTAACTATAAAGCTGTAAAGCTTAGGCCTTTCTATGCTGAGTGCAAAAGGGTTATTGCTCTCTCTGTCTCCAAGTAGTCTTCATTCACAGTTTTAGTTAGGCAGCATGAACAGGGATAGAAATAGCAGTTTATATCAGGCTACCATTAAAGCAAAGTTATTTTGAATTCCTGTGCCTCAATTTGTGGCAAATCAGAGAGAAAAATCAAGAAGCAGGATGCAGAGGTACTCACCAGCATTTCCAAAGCAGTTTCATCAGAAAATGAATAAGGATTTACTAAGAGGGAATTCAGGGTGCAGTGATGATTCAGTGCCTTCCATGCTGGAGAGCCAGGTTTGATTCCTGGCCAATGCATCTCATGCATAGCCACCACACATCTGTAAGTGGAGGCTTGTGTTATAAGGCTGAACATGTTTCAGCAGAGCTTCCAGACTAAGATGAGGAAGAAAGGCCTGACATTCTATTTTCAAAGCTCAGCCGATGAAAATCCTACAGATCACCATAGTGCAGAGGGTTGCCATGAGCTGAGAGCCAACACTATGGCAGCTTACAACAAGAGGGAATTCAGCAGCGGGTCCCAGGATCAACTGGCTCCTCTAGCTGTGTGATCTTGGCAAGTTATCCAAACTCTCTGTTCCTCAGAAACCTCATATTAAAATCCGAATAATAATTGTGCTTTTTCTCCTATATTGTTGTGTGATGGTTAAATGAAATAATGCACGTAAGGTTCAGTGTATGTGGCCCATGGTAAGAATTCAATCAAAACTGTGGTGGTGGCTGATATTACTACTGTGGTGGTGATTGATATTAATACTACTGCAGCGCTGGTTGATATTATTAGTGCTGTGGTGTAATAGGACTCCCTGACTGGTGCAGATGGTCAGGCACTGGGCTACTAACCACAAGGTTGGCAGTTCAGAGCCACCCGGAGACACCTCAGAAAAAAGACCTGGTGATCTGCTTCAGAAAAGTTATAGCCATGAAAACTCTATGGAGTGCAATTCTACTCTAACACAAATGGGTCACCATGAGTGAGAATCAACTTGATTATTATTACTACTGTGGTGGTAGTTGATATTATTGCTACCGTGGTAGTGGCTGATATTATCGCTACTGTGGTGGTAGCTGATATTATTACTAC